TGTCAGTTCTCAGAGGTACGGACTATCTCCACCCTACAATGTGTGGGTGCCATCATCCCAAGATTCTGCTGTGTTTACAGTCATTGTTTGAATTTTTCCATATTTTCTGTCACCAGAAACCAATGATGACTTCTATTTTTTTGTCTGTGTAGATAGAAGAAATGCAAGCAGTTATTGTCTTTGGGAAAAGGTGAGGTGAATGAGACAGTTGCTGTGAGCACCCAGATTCAAGAAGACATCAACAATGTCAATAATCAAGATAAATAATATTTAATATAATACTTTTCATTTATGGCACACACCTATACACCTTTAACCCCAGCACTCTGGAGGCAGAGGCAGGAGGATCTCTGTGAGATCAAGGCCAGCCTGTTCTACATAGTGAGTTCCAGACCAGTTGGGGCTACCAGGAGACCCTGTCTCAAAAAGACCAAAAAATTTTTATTCACTTTTAAGTTTATATATATATATATATGGTACAGTTTGATAAGTTGACACATACAGAAATCAAAATTAATTCTTTTTGACTTTCCTATGTCCTTGGCAGGCTTCAAACTTGCTGTGCATCTGAGAACATCCTTGAACTCATGATCCTCCTGCTTCCACCTTCCAAGTGCTGAGATTTCAAGCATGCACCATACACCCAGTAAAAATTAATTCTAAAGATCCACGGTGAACAATATACCAACATTTTAAATAGACGATTGTCATTCTTCCTTTTCCCAAAGACCTTGGGTCTAGAAATATGAGTGAAATTTTAGTTGTTTTAAATTTGTAGAGCAACTAATGTTAAATCAAGAAGCAAATAAGCATTTATTTCTTTTTAACAGTTTTATTTCATTTATTTATCTATGCATATGTTTATTATGTGAGCACACACGTGCCATGGTACATGTGTGGAGGTCAGAGGACAACTTGTGGGAGTTGGTTCTCTCCTTCTACCATGTGGGGACCAGGGATAAAATTCAGGTCATCAGAGTTGGCAGCAAGTGCCTTTACCAGTTGACCATCTCACCAGCCCAAGCTTTATTTTAATTTCAGATTGTATTGACTTTGGGTCAACTAAACCACCATTTGGCTTTTTCTTTGATGGACATAGGGAACCATCTGGGAGACATTTCTGGGTGTAACTTACAAGCTGCCTTTGCTATCAGCTCTTTCACTATTAGAGCACTGGGTTTTTTTGTTTGTTTGTTTGGTTGGTTGGTTTTTTTTTCTTGAGTTGCAATGTTAAGTCATTTATTTGTGTTCTTTCCGATTTTCTGATGTAGGCACTTAGCACTGGGTTTTAAAATGTTTTATTTATTCTTCTTATTTTTTATGTGTATGAGTGTATTGCTTGCATCTATGTAAGTACACCCCTGTCATGCAATGCCCTCGGAGATCAGAACAGTCATCAAACAGATGGTTGTTAGCCACCATGTGGGTGCTGACAACCATACCCGGGTCCTCTGCAAGAGCAGCCAGTGCTCTTAACTACTAGGTCCTCTCTCCAGCCCCAGAACCCTGGTTTTATCTCAGGACTTGTGCTGGCCACTTAAACTTTCCTCATCTATGACAATTTTGGATGTGGTCAAGTGGAAGAGCTCACCACCTTCATATTTTACAGGGAAAGCAACAGATGATCCTCTCTCAAATATTGAGAGTTACATAGCTCACAAATTCTAATGTAACCCAAGATCCTCTCTTTCAAAGAGGACATGGGTATTTTAAGGAAAACAATTCAGTGCATCTTAAGAATCCCTAATCTGAAAATCCAAAATCTGAAATGCCCCATGATGCCACAGTGTAAAATTCCACATCTGACTTCATATAATAGGTCACAGACCAAATAGAGGCACACTAAAATATTTCATGGAGTTATTCTAAATCTGTGAATAAGATAAAACATAAATGAAATTTGCACACTTTGCATCCTATCCCCAAGATAGTGCATGATGTATATGCACATATTCCAAGATCTAAAAAAAGAAAGAAAAGAGAAATAAAAAACAGAAACAGTTTTTTGGTCTTAGGCATTTTGGATAATGGGAACTTTCCTGTATTTAAACACGATGCTCTTTTCTATATTAATGCATCTACCAAAAAAAAGACACTAAAACATGATAGCCACTTTGGCTAAATTTACAAGGTATCTCTCTGGTTCTTGCACACTGTGTGTTTCTTTTCAATCTCATGATAGGACGATAACCTTTCATTTTAGATTTGTTTTGGTGGTGCTAGCTAGATTTTTGTCCCTTGTTTCCAGTCCATGTTTCCTTTCCTTTCCTTCTCGAAAGGACTGCCCCCACCCCTGCTTATAAGCTATGAGAAACAGCTTCTGAGACTCAACTCTGAGAAACAGCTTCTGAGACTCAACTCTGACTCAAAAAACAAGTTCTATTCTAGCTTTATAGCTTAAGTGGGAAGATTTTAGCTGTGACATATCTCTTTATTGCTCAATTTGCTCATCTTTAAAATAAGACTAATAACACCACCCTCCTTGTAAAGTAAAAGAACTCATACATTAAACATTTGAGACCTATCATTACTTTTCAAGGAAATGCAAATCAAAACTCCAATAAGGCTGAAACCATAGCTCAGTAGTGGAATGTTTACCTAGCATGGACTAGCCCCTGGGTTTGAGCCCCAACTCTACAAAATGTAAATTAAATAAAGGGGCCAAGACAATGACTTAGTGATTAATAACACTGGCTACCCATGCCAGGTGACCTAAGTTCAATCCCTAGAACCCACATAAAAGTGGAAGGAGAGAACTGACTCCACGAAGTTGTTCCCTGTGGAGTGAGTTCCATGGTGCATGTATGCATATGCACAGCAGATACACACTCATGTACCAACAGAGGTAGAGACACCTTTTACATACACACACTAATAATAAAATAATAATAATAATAATAAATAAAATATTTAAGTAAAATAAAACCATTAAAATACATCAGGGTAACTGTAATCAGATAGAAAATAATAAAGGGTTGGCAGGGTTGTGGAGAAATCAGAACCCTCACACACAGCTGGTGGGAATACAAAATGAGGTAGTTACTTTCCTCAAATAATTAACCATAAAGTTAATCTATGATTCAACAGTTCCATTCCCAGATACACAGTAAGTGTTATGAAGAGATGTGTTCACACAAAAACTTATACATAAGGGGTTGGAGAGATGGCTCAGCAGTTAAGAGCTTGATTACCAGCACCCACATGGTGGCTAACAACTGTCTGTAACTCAAGTTCTAGGAGATCTGGCGCCCTCTTCTGATCTCCATGGGCATTGCATGACATGGGTGCACTTACATATATGCAGGCAATACACTCATAAAATAAAAATAATAATTAAAAAACTTGTACATAAATATTTATAACATCATAATTTATAATAGCCAAAATTATTAAAACTATTCCAATGCCCATCAACTGATGAGCAAATATGGACTACCAGACAATGAAACAGTGAGCAGGCATGAAAAGGAATGAAGCACTGCTCCACACTACAGTATGGATGAACCTTGAAGATGTGATACTGTGTAGAAGATCCCATACACAAAAGGATGTATATTTTATGATTCCATCTATGTGAAATGTCCAGAAAAGCTAAATCCATAGACTGATTGTGAAGGACTGGGAGAAAGAGTGGGTAGTGTTTCTCTCAGAGGTCTGGAGAAATGACTCAGTGGTTAAGAGCATCACCTACTCTTGCAGATGACCCTGGTTCAGTCCCAGCACCCACATGGTAGCTCACAACTGTCTGTAATTTCGGTTCCAGGAGATCTGATGCCCTCTTCTGGTGACTACGGGCATTGAACAACATGGGTGTACTTACATACATTCAGGCAAGACACTCAAAAAAATAAATTTTTTAAAAAAGGGAACTCAAGTTGGAAAGATGGGTCTGTCAGTAAAGTGTTTGCCTCACAAGCATGAGGACCTAACTTTGATCCCTAGTACCTACCAGGAGTAGTGGCATGTACTTGTAATCCCAGTCATGGGGAGGAGACAGGAGGATCCATGGGGCTCACTGACCAGTCAGCCTACCCTACTTGGTGAGTCTCAGGTCTTACAAACAAAAGGTGGATGATGTTCCTGGGAGCCACACATTAGGTTTTCCTTTGGCCTCCATACCCACACACACAGACCAACACACACATAACACACAAAAAAACTCTCTCTCTCTCTCTGTTCCCCACTTCCTCCCTCGCTCCTTTTTAACTTGTAATGTAATCCAGGCTGACCTTGACTTTATAATCCTTCTCCTTCAGCCTCCCAAGTACTGAGATCACAGTTATGCACCACCACACCCAGCTAGAATTCTCGGGGGGGGGTGTTGTTGTGATGAGATAAAAATGGTCTAAAGCTGGATATGGTGGCACATGCCTTTAATAGTCTTACTCAGGATGCAGAAACAGATGGATCTCTGTGAGATCAAGGCCAGCCTGGTCTACATAGTGAGTTCCAGGCCAGTTGTGGTTACAGGGAGACCCTGGTGTCAAATAACAACAACAAAAATGTTCTAATGTGACTACTACTGGTTATGGAAATCTTTAAATGGTAAGTTATATGATATGTGAGTTGAGTTTACAACTACTAAAAAGGAAGGGGGTGGGGGCTGGGGAGATGGCTCAGTGGTTAAGAACACTGTTCTTGCAGAAGACCCGGGTTCAATTCCCAGCACTCACATGGCAGCTAACAACTGTCTGTAACTCCAGTTCCAGGTGATCCGACGCCTCTTCTGTCCTCTGCAGGCATTGCAGAACACAGGTGCACTTACCTACATGCAGACAATACATGCATACACATAAGATAAAAATAATTAAAATATTTTTTAAAAAAGAAAGGAGGGAAGCAGAGAGAAGGAAAAAGGGAGGGAGAGGGAGAGAGAGAGAAAGAGAGAGAGAGAGGAGAAGGAGGAGGATGAGAAGAAAGGGAATTAGAGAAGGTAAGGACAGAGGGAGAAGGGCAACTGAATTTCTCCATATCACATTCTCACCAGAAAGCCAGCTTCCTCAGGAGTTTTGCAGAAATAGTTTCCTAAGGAAGGCCTTCTTCATGGTTACCTTCAGCTCCTTGTTCCTGAGGCTGAAGATGATGGGACTGAGGAAGGGTGTGAGGACTGTGTAGGTGATGCCCATTAAGGTGTCTCCTTCCAAAGACTTGGGGCCCTTGGGCTTGAGGTAGATGACAGAGGCAAAGCCATAGTGCACAACCACCACTGTCAGGTGGGATGCACACGTGGAAAAGGCCTTGTGCCGCCCCTCTGCTGAGGGTATCTTCAAGATGGCAGCCACAATGAAGGCGTATGAGAGGAGGATGAGGAGGAAGCAGCCCAGCAGGACAGTGATGCATACCAAGCCCACACCCTTGGCCACCACCAGTACATCCTCTCCACAGGCCAATTTCAACAGAGGTGGAACATGACAGAAGAAATGGTGGATCTCATTGGGTCCACAGAAGGTGAGGTTGAAAATGGCTGTTGTCACCATTGTGCCCACAACTGAGCCACCAACCCAGGACCAGGCGACCAAGCAGGCACAACCTTGAGGGCTCATGAGCACATTGTAGCACAGTGGGTGACAGATAGCCACATAGTGGTCATAGCCCATGATGGTGAGTAGGAAAGAGTGGGTGAAACCAAATGTGAAGGAGAAGAACATCTGGCTGGCACAGGCCAGGAAGGCGATGGAGTGCAGTGAGGAGAGCAGGTCAACCAGCATGTGTGGGATGATGGCTAAGGTGTAGAGGATCTCAGAGATGGAGAGGGCACACAGGAAGAGGTACATGGGTGTGTGGAGACTCTGTTCACTCCAGATGGTGACCATGATGATCAGGTTTCCCGACAGAGTGAAGAGGTACATGAGCAGGAACAGAAGGAAGAACATCAACTGAAGGTGAGGGAAGGTAGAGAAGCCAATGAGGATGAACTCAGACAGAAAGGTGTAATTCAACCCCAACATGGCAGCCACAACTGAGTGGGATAAAGAAAGAAGGCTTAGTGTTTAGGAGCACAAGTTTCCTTGGGAGCTCTTAGAAGGACATCAGAAAGGTTCTTTACTTGTCTAAAACATGATTAGTCCACTTGCAAAAATGTATTTATACAGTCATCCCTTAGTATTCATGGGGATTAGTGCCAAGACTTATCATCACCCATCAATATCTATGGCTACTTAGGTGCCTTATGTAAAATGGAGTGGTACTTGCATAGTCTATGCAAATTCTCCCCAGACTTTACTAAATCATGTCTAGATAATTTATAATATCTAACAGAATGTGCATATAATGTAAATGGTTGTTATACTGAATTATCTAAAGAATAATGACAAGGGGCTGGGGATATAACTCAGCTGTAAAGCGCTTCCATGAAAGTATCTGGATCTGTTTATTCTTGGAACGAACATAGAATAATAATCTGTCAAGGTGCAGAAAGGAGGGTTCCCAGGGATCACTAGCTACCTAGTCAGTGAACCTCCAGTTCTAGTGAAAAACCCTGTCTCAGAAAACATGGTGGGTCATACACATAAAATAAAATAATAAATAAAATATTTCAAAGAAAAAAAAAACATCCTAAATCCTCAAACTCATTTGGTCTCCACCTGAAAGAGTTTCTCAACTAGATATTGTAGCATACACCTTTAATACCAGCTTTCAGGAGGAAAAGGGGGTTTGATTTCCATGAATTTGAGGTCAACGTGTTCTACACAGTTCCAGGCCTGTGAGGGCTGCAGAGTGAGAGCCTGTCTCCAAACAAAACCAAACAAAACAAACAAAACCACAAAAAAAAAATAACCAAAAAGAATTTCTCATACAAGTGAGGGTCTGTGGTCTACAATATTCATTGCAGCATAATCTGAGATAACAGAGAGTTTGGGGCATAAAACAAAAACAAAAAAAAAACAGAAAAGAAATCAAAAGATCAACTGTATTATATCAACAGCATGGATCATCTTAACAAGATGAATCCCACAAAACTGGAAAAGTGGAAGAGTGGATTGGGCTGGCTGCACACCATTACTCTTCAGACAAAGCTAGGAACCACAAACAACATCAAAAGAGAGATATGGATGGCACAAAATACAGTTCTGGGGGCACAAAGGAGCTCCCTGGGACAGAACAGTGGCCCTTAGCCAAAGCATTTATCTGCAACCTCACAGATTTCACAAGAATTCAGGCGCATATATGCAGGCATTTTGAGCAGATTATAGCAGGTATATGAGAGGAGGGGACAGGTGGGACACATGATAAATAAATCAACAGGAATTAATAAAGTGGATTGTCACAGATTTGCAGATCAATGGGAGTAAAATATCAGCCATTAAAAATGGGGGAAGGATACTGTGTGATGGCTCAGCAGGTAAAGGTGTTTGCTGCCAAGCCTGGCAACCTGAGTTCAATCTCAGGACCCACATGATGGAGGCAGAGAACTGACTCCTCAAGTTGTTCTCTAGCACAATGCACTGTGACACATATGCACACACACACACACACACACACACACACACACAAATGTAAAAAAATTTAAATGTCATCCAGTATACTCAAAAGTCTGCATTTAACTTTGATAATAATTTCTAAGTATATCTTTTTCATGCATGCACATATGTATCTCTGTTGCTGACTTCTCAAGCTACTGTTTTGATAGCACATTTTCAAATGTTTACCATGCAACTAATTTCATTCCAAGATTACAAACTTGACCCCTTCCCCCCAGCATAGATAATTTTTGGTAAATGTGATTCCTGAGCCAAGAGCAGAATCACACTTGGAAAATGTACAATTCAGTTTGACTTCAGGAAGGGTTATGCCACATGTGAAAGATTTATAGTCTACAGGGAACTAATCCAGTTGAGCTAATAACACACGAGGGACAAATTTTGGCTCTTCTTCATCTGTCCTGTCCATTAGCCACCATCTCTGGACCTCGCTCCTTGGCTGTCCACCACATGGACCCAGCCCCAGCTTTCATCTTGTCCCCCCTCTCTTGGGCCATTGTGCCTGCCCATCTCATCTCCTCTGTTCCTCCTCTCCTCTTACAGTAGAAACAATTCTCTGAGGCAATCATAGGTTGTAACATCTGGCAGACCTGTGACTCTAGCCACAAATGGTCATTGAATGTTGTGATAAACAAATTCCTGATCTCAGGGGATCCCTGAAGCCTGTCATTCCAACTGTTCATCACAAGACTTACCAACTAGCATTGTTACCATCGATGTCTCCTTACTGTTGTCTGCTGAGCTGTCACCCATCTTTCTGTGCCAGGTGATCCCTAAAGGCATTATGACACTCCAGGACATCAACCTCATTCCAGGCTAATTATCCCTCTGACACTGCATGTCTCCTACCCTTCAACACTCACAAGCTCCAGAAGTCTGACTCCTAAATATGCAAATGGTACTAAAATTACAAAAGGGCTTTCTCAACTCTCTTTCTTCCTGGTATGTGCTCCATTCTATCTTTCCTTACCACAACTTATTGGTAAGACTCTTGAAAGAGACTCTCTAGGTTGCCTACAGGAAACCAGAAAAAGAAAGGCCAAAGTTTTCTTCATAGCTGCAGAGCCTAGGCAGAGCACCAGGCTGGTGTACATGCAGGTGTCTCCCTAGCCTAGTCTCAGTGTACCTCCTTCTCAAGAGGGACTCCATTCAACCTATGCAGCTTATACTGCCTATATGCCTGTGTCATAGACCTAAAACTGTGCATAGACACAAAATCAGACAGAAACAGTGGGATACACCTTTAGCCTCAACATTTGGGAGGCAGAGGCAGACAGATGTCTGTGAGATTGAAGCCATCTGATCTACATAGCACCTCCAGACCAGCCAGGGTTAAAGAGTGAGACTTTGCCAAAAAGAAAAAAAGCATCCAGAGCCAACCAGACACACACCCATACCCTGGTTCTGAAATACACACTGACCCATTATACGCAGTAAACACTTAGCCAGAAATGGAGACAGTTACTCACTGTGCATATGCCTAGTGGACAAATAACAAGTGCTTGGTGTTTTATCTGAGAGTTGATAAATTTGGGACACAGAGTAGCTATATAGCCAAGGGCTTTGTTTTGTTTCAACAGTGTCTCCCCAGGTGCATGTCCACCTGGAACCTCACATTGTGACCTGATTTGGAAATAAGGGTTTTCTAGATTTAACCAAAGTATGGATCATAAGATGAGCTATCCTAGATGAGGAAGCACTATATACAAAGACTGGCATCCTCACGTGGAAAGCAGGGGCAAGCAAGGTGATTCAGTCGGTAAAGGTGCTTGCTGCCAAGCCTGATAACCTGGACCCACATGGTAGGTAGAAGGAGAGAACTGTCCCCACATGGTGTCCTCTGCCCTCTGCATGTGCACTGTGGCACCTGTGTGCCTACACTCAAATACATTATGAACACTCACACACAAACAACAATTTAGTATTTTCTAAAAAATTAAAAAGAGAGGCCACATAGTTAGGAAGAGGATACATAAAGACAGAGGCAGAAGCTAGAAGACATGAGGGAAGTTTCTCCCTTAGTATCATAGACGGAATGTGGTCCCACTCACACCTTGGTTTCAGACTACTAGACTTCAGAGCTGTGAGAGTTAATTTGTCTTTTTTTTTTTTTTTTTTTGCCTTTTTGAGACAGGGTCTCCCTGCAGCCCCAGCTGTCCTGGAACTCACTATGTAGACCAGGCTGGCCTTGAACTCACAGAGATCCGCCTGCCTCTGCCTCCCAAGTGCTGGGACTACAGGCGTGCATCACCACGCCCAGCAATTTCTCTTTTTTTAAGCCACCATGTTTGTGATAATTTGCAATGACAGCTACGAAAATCCAACATACACACACACACACACACACACACACACACACACACACACACATCCATACCTTACAGGTCAAAGCATACATGAGTGGCAAATGAGCCCACATACACACAGGCTGGCACCCTCAGTCTTGCCCTGTCTCAGAAATGTACTCTTCACTGCCCAGCATAAAAATCATTCCCACCCCAGAATGAACCCTGTAAGCCATGATTGGCATGGAAAGAAGTGGTGATGGGTGTAGATAGACTCAGTGGGCTGCTGGGAACCAGAACAGGCCCACATAACTAGGAACCAGGCTCCTGTGGCTACAGATCCTCGTCACTTTATCCCACCTTCCTTTTCTGACCTTGAATTAAAGTCTCCCTGCGTTCTACTTTTCTCTGAACTTCATGTCTTCTGCTGTTCAGTCCCTTCATCACTTGGCCAGTGTATCCAGGAAGTACATGGCTCCGCTTACCTGACTTGGAGAAGTTTGGGAATGGCCTGCAGCCCAGCTTGCAGAGCCTTATATGCAGAGCACTAGAACTGCAGTGGGAGGTGCAGGAGCTTTATCTCTGTAGGTGCCTTCCCCAGTGGCAGGTTCCCAAATGCCTCTCTACTGAACATGTCGGGGATGAAGTATTTGTGGTCCTCTAAGTCCAGGGAGAACACCTAGCAAATAGAAATGTACCACCCTCCCTCCTATGAAAAGATCTATCATCTATCTATCTGTATTATATCTGTCACCTGTCTATTAATATCCATTAAACCTGTCTATTAATATCTCTATATGTACCCTTTTCTTTGTTCTCTTTTATCTGCTCTCTCCCTCCTTCCTTCCTCTCCTTTCTTCCCTTGTTCCCTTTTCTCTCCTCCCTTCCTTCTTTCCTTCTTTTATCTGGGGTATACCCTCTTCTCGCTAATCTTTTTCTGGCCATTCTTCCTTTAGATCTCAGTTTACACTTCCTTCCTCCCATAAAATCTCATCAGGAACCTAGGGAGATGGATCAGTGGTTAAGAAGCATCTGCTGCACAAGTATGAGGACCTGAGTTCAAATCCCCAGCATCCATGTAAAAAGACAGCATAGCTGTGCATGTTTGTAGCCACAGCATCATGAGAGGCAGAGACAGGAGGCTTGCTGGGGCTTACCTAGTACCAGATTCACTTAAAGACTGAG